AGTAATTCAGTTCCGAATATACGGAACTATTTTTTTTCACACACAAGGAACGTTTGGTACGCGAATCTGTTTGGGCATGTCGATAGATATACTTTTGCAGAATATATTCTGAAATTTTCATCAACAAACTATTCTTGATAAGTGAGTAATTTGACTTTCTTGAGTAATTCAGTTCCGAATGTACGGAACTATTTTTTTCGCACCGAAGAAACGTATGGTATGTAAATCTGTTCAAACACGTCGATAGATATACTTTTGCAGAATTCATTCTGGAATTTTCATTGAAAAACTATTTTTGGTAAGTGAGAAATTTGACTTTATTGAGTAATTTAGTTCCGAATATACAAAACAATTTTTTTTCGCACCCAAGGAACGTATTGTACGCAAATCTGTTTAGGCACGTCGATAGATATACTTTCGAAGAATATATTCTGAAATTTTCGTCAATAAACTATTTATGATAGGTGAGAAATTTGATATTTTGTGGATGAGTCTTTCCTGGGCATTCGGTATTGTTAAACGCAGGATATTTCAAATGACATACTTTTTACAAGTCATAAAATTTTTACCGAGAAACTAATTTTCCAGTTCCCTCACGCTACCTGTTTCGGTACAAATGAATTTTTCCTGAATGATATTATAATTTTATTTTACATTTTTTTCGGTATTAATGCTTGTATACGGACAGTTGGCTGATATAACGAGTTTATGTAGAATGCTGACTCATTTATTCGACATGTTTCAATAATATATCGTATTTTTAAAATGAAATCGAAATACAGGTAAAATTCTTAATATTTGCAATCTGGCAACACTGTTCGCAAATCTCATTCTAAACCCTGTTCGATTGTCCTTCGTCATAAACTGTGGATGAAAAGTTGTGGGTAATTTCACACTAATTAAAAGACCACATTTGAAGTGCTGCTCCATCAAGAAAATGCACAGTGTCACAAATCAATGAAAACGGTGGCAAAACTCTTGATGAAGACTACGTTGACGAATAAAGCCAATTTTGAACAACAAAAACTCGTTATTTCTCTTAAACTCGGTACATTTCAAGCACTGTTAACTAATGAAATATTGACAACATGAAATGTATTCTAATGAATATTTTCTTCAAAGCCTATTTGGTAACATGAGAAACGTAATCAAATTTCCATGAATTTCCAATTTTCCAATTTCAGATGAAAAATAAAACCCTTTCAGATAAGTTATTGATGTTAATAATATTGCATGAATCTGATTTTGCTGTTGAATTACGATAAAATTTACGGATATTCTGTTTGATCAAACAAGCGAATTGAAATCGTCGCTGGGTTTCCCGTGATTTAATTTGATCCACTTCGGGAAGAGCGGGGAAACGCTAGTGATCTGACTATTACATTCGAACATAAACGATTGATTGAACTGGATAACAAAAAGGAGGATTTTTTGGCCTTGTTATCTTGTTAACACTGTCTTTTTATCCATTTTGCTCCCATCATGCGCAAACAATGGATGTAGTAAAAAATAATCATCTCCTCAAATCATTAAAGACATCTAGCGTACCGAAGTCACGTATAAAGACACCTGTAGTTAAAGTGTGCCCAATTCTGGCACATATTTCTTTCTAATCCAACTCTCCCTACTTTATGAGTTATTTGCTTCTTGACATAAAAGTCATTAAAACTCATTTTCTGGGTCAGTATTATCTTCTGGAGACTCAGGAGTGATTATTATTTTGTTCTATGTTCATTTTCATTGGTTTTCCCTCTTTGGTTTTAGTTTTTGCTTCTTATTAACTTGGCCTTTCGAAAGTTATGAATTTTCTGATTTCCGATTTTTTCGTCTAAAATTGTGTTTTCCTTTCTATCTCAGGAATAGATGGAATATCTGCAGGAGATGAATAAGAATTGTACATTTCCTCATTACTTTGAACACCAACCTGAGTTTTCACTTGAAGAAATTATCGCATCTGATGGTCCGGGAACTGGACCAACAGAACTACTGTCTGTTCCTTTCTGTTGGTTTTTTCCCATCAATAAAATATGGTTCAGAAGTTGTGAATGATATATGCCACATTTTTGAAATCCGTTGATGACAGTTTCAAATGTGGCGCTAGCCTCAAATGCTCCTTAAACCAATTGAGGTATATCAGACTGGTTTATTCTTCGACCCACTTATTGTTTTTGGTAGTCTTTTGCATTTTAAATAGTTTTATCCTTCATTTCTTTATTTAGCATAAGCTAATATACAATATGTTTGATCCTACATGGATTTTTCAGTTGATTCTGGTATTATAACTATGATAATTTTCATTATTTGTTATTTTTCTGCTCAATAAATTAGGAGATAGATAGTGATGCATCTTATATATCAGTACCATTGTTTGATAGTACACATATTCTTTTAATGACATCCATTTCAATTCTGAATTTCAATAGTTCGGACTTCCATTGTCTGATATCATATGATATGATTTGAACTTCCTGGAAGAACTAAAGAAGAATTGAAAAATCAACAAACAAGAATAAAAATGAATAACTGAAAAAACAATTATATTAAGTAAAAAAAATCTGAAATTAAATAATAGTGGAATAAAATACAAGTGGAAACGAAACCAATTCAACAAAAAATATAAAAATATAATTAAAAAGTTAAGAGATTCCAAGCCAAGTTACTCCACGACGTTTCGATTGTTATTATCCACTTCGGGTGATGACTGGACCGATTTATCCGTGAGATGACTATGCATTGGTCATTCGAGTGCTTCCCCTCTTCCCTCTCTCCGCTTCATTGGTTTTAGCGGTAGATGACCGTTTGGCGGGAGTTGACCATCGCAGGGTTTCTATATGTTGTGTATCTCTACGCTAGCTTGCCTGAATACATTGTTGAATAACATGTATGCGGCTTCTTTGAATTTCCTCCTAAACCAATGTTCCTCTTTGTGCATGATCTCAGCTTGGGACCATTCGATGTTATGTTGATGCTCTGCTATTCCTGATTTGCTGGTTTCCCCTCGCTGTGCGTGTTTCTTGTGCTCGGCAATGCGAACATTCAATGACCACCGGTATAGGATGTTCCGCACTCACAGGGTATCCGGTAGATGAAATTCTTGGAATCGCAGTTCACATTTGTTGGCCTGATTTTCGTCAGGCTGCTACGGATAGTGTTTCCGGATCTGTAGCAGGGTCTGATGTTGCACTTGGATCCAATTCTTCATATCCTTTCCGATAATCCTCTGATGTAGGAGAGTGCAAGCACTGGTTGTGATAGCTTGTCTTCCTTGCAAGGTTCCTGCTGTCTTTCAGCCAAAGTCTGTTTCACCATCGCTTTGGAGTAGCCATTCCGTTGAAAATCATTTCTGATAATGTCTAGTTCAAACAAGCATTTTAATTCTCTCAACATGTTGACTATTGGCGTGTCTCTTGGTACACCCAGTAGGATTCTCAAGGCTCCATTCTGTTGCTTTTGAAGTCGATCCAACTCGTTTTTATTAACCGTAAATAGTATTGAAGAACAGAAAGTAAGATGTGGTGAAACTAATGTAGTATAAATTGTCATTTTTGACCATCTAGATAGGCTAGGCGATACTCTCACCAGAAAATTCACCTCACTGGTGATAGTTTTTATCACTTTCAATACATGCTCTTTGAATATTAGTCTTGGTCAATCAATACTCCCAAATACTTCACTACTGTTACACTTCCAATATCCTCATTAGCAATCTTTACACTAATTCCTCTATATTTGATTTCGTCATAACCTGTTTTATTACTCAGTAAGAGAAATTTCGTCTTTTCACCATTTGATTTGAGAGTGTTGAGATTACACCATCACCTAAATTTGCAGAGCTCACTATTTAGAGTATCTACCAGTTCATTAACGTTATAAGAACAGTAGTATATTAAGGTGTCATCTGCAAACAAACTAATTTTGCACTTAGACATCTCGGAAACAAGGTCATGAATATGAAGAAGGAAGAGTAAGGGCCCACGTGTACTACCCTGTGGCACTCCATTTTCATTAATATTATTGACCTTTGTCAATTGTTTTCTATCACTCAAATAGTCTCTGAACCATTTCAGTTTGTTTTGTTTGTTTGTGTCAAATTTAATCATTGGAGTTTGAGTCCGTTACTGCTGATATATTGATCTAATATTTGGTACACACATTTAGTTTTGATGACAATACAATTTAATGAATTCTCTGTCATTGTTGATCCAAGATGGCCGCAGTTACAAAATGGCTGATTGCATATTACCTTGTAATACTAAGGCTCTAAATGAACTAAAAAGAATGAATAGAATTTATGAATTAGAAGAAGAAATCAGAAACTATGAACTTGAAAATAAAATCAGTAAAAATAATGTTTATGCTAAACGGTTTTATTGGAAAAAAAGATATTACTGATGTAGATAATGCACTAAAAATAATTCGGAAGTCCTAGGTAGCAGTCATCACACCACTCTCCTCAGCAATCTGCGGTATTGATCAAATGAAAAATAATAAAATCGTTCGGCGTAGCGTAACCTGAGTACTACGCCCAACGCTTATATTATTTTTCATCTGATCAATACTGTAGATTGCTGGGGAGTCTGATGTGATGGCTGCCACCTACGACGTTCCGAATATTTTTTTAGTTTCAATAAATTATCTACATCATTTTTTTCCAATGAAATCGTTAACCATTTATTTTTTTTACTTATATTATTGAAGGTTGACTTGAAAATATTAAATGGAGTTAGGTAGATTTGCAGACATGCGGAGCTTGGCGCTACGAACATCTCATAGTCATGAAAATATATTGTTGAGATCCTTCAATTGTTTTCGAAATTTCTGTTTCGAAAATATTCAGGGAGGGAAACTTTCCCTGGGAAGTTCTGTTATCAATTTCTAACACAATATATAGGTTTATATGACTTTGGTGTAGATGTTTCAAGAAAAATTTGCTTATTTTTTCATTTCCACACATTCTCAATACAAAATTTATGATTTTTTTTATCCAAAAATTTGCTCACCAATGATGTTGTCCAGACAAACAGTCTGGTTGGTCGGACTCATGGTATTGGCGCTGAGAAGCGGCAGTGAGAGCGCCAAGCCAGTCTTCCATTTCTCTTCTAGATTCACAGCAAAGCACCAATGATCTGAAAGGGGTTATCACCTGAAAAAAAAAAAATGGGAAAACTTACTGAGAAAGTAAAGACTGTTGAGGGAAGTTGGTTCATCGTAAACAAACAACGTGGACTGCTCAAAGTATAGGGTGAATGTTTAAATTTCGCGCGCTACGTACATTCGAATAGGTTTTTTTATTTTTTATGTTGGTACACTCATCTCGACCAAATGTCGCAGCAGTTTAGTTCGTTGGTGGGAGGCATGAAAGTTAGAAGTGTTTTACGTGTTCGGCGATCTTCTGCAATCGAAAAATGTGTAAAAAATGGAATTGAGTGCTCAAAAACAATTGAAATGTTGACATTGACAAAGAGTGACAGTACTACGAGTCTGAAAGATGTTGACAAGTGGTACAAGCTTCTCACAGGAGGTCGAGAAGATATGATTGATGACGCCGAAGAAAATTGTTATGGAAAATCGTTGAATCACTATTAGTGAAGTTGCTGAGGATGTCGGTCTAGGCACTCCTCAAACTTTGTTTGAGGAGTGCCTAGAAGATGACAGTACTACCAACTGACGAAAGCGCTCGCAGATAATTAATAGATCTTTGTAGATTGGTTACAGACATTAAGTGAATTAAGGTTATAATTCCATTTCCTAATTTAAATGATCTAGTGAATTTCTTAGTGGTCATTTTTTGGTACAAAAATGGTTTTGTTTCCTAAGACATATTCAGTGGTGATTTCAAGGTTGATTTTTTTTTGTATAAGATCATTTTATTCCTTATACATGTTGACTCCTGAATTCAAGGTTAATATTTTTTATATAAACCAAGTGCAAAACATTTATATCCCCAAAGTCTATCCAAATCCAAGATAGAGTAAAACAAAACAAAACCGAAGCGTGATGTTCACGTGATCGCCCAGTGTCAGATGGAAAGGGCAGCGTTCATTGGTGAATTCGCCTTCTTGGTACGAGTTCGGTACCAGCACAGGGTTGTAATCAGTCGTTTGCGTGTTTGTGTGGCGTGCGTTATAGTATATTGTTTAAAATTGTTTTCCAAGATGTCCAGTACAAACACTGCTGATGACACTGTGAGCTATCCTCTGAGTCCAGCCAGGAAACGATCCAAAAAAAGACATTTGAGTGTTGAGATGAAAGAAGTGATTTTAAATGTGTTCAAGAAAGAGATGGAAGAAATTGAGACATCGACTGTCGACGAAGTCGTATCGAAAATTTCCGATAAAATTGGAGTATGTTGCGCTTCGATTTACAATGTTTTGCGGGAATATAAACAAAATCATACATTTTCAAGACCGAATACAAATCAGAATCGTCAAACCATTATAAAATCAATAAATGGTGCTGATAAACATGCAATCAGGAGGAAAGTGCATGAGTACTTTTTCAGAAATGAAATACCCACGATAGACAATGTACTCACAGAAATAAATGAATATGTTTAATTGCCAAGTTTTAAGTGGTCAAAATTCCATAAAGTATTGAAACATTTGAATTTTCTATGGAAAAACGAGGGCGCAATAGTTTATTATTGGATAGAGAGGAAATTGTGTTATGGAGGAGAGATTATTTGACCAAAATTAAGTATTATAGGGAACAACGGAGAACAATTTATTATATGGATGGAACCTGGGTTAATGCTGGTCATACTACCCCTCAAGTATGGGTCGATGAAACTGTGACCTCATCTAGGAGGGCCTTTCTAGATGGACTATCCACCGGATTGACAAATCCATCAGGTAAACTTATATTTATATTCAGACCTGCCTCAATCTAAATATATAAAAAGTAACCCTCGTATTTGTTTTATTTACTTACATACCTTTTCATATTTCAGGTAAAGGAAAACGGCTTATTATTTGCCACATCGGCAATGAAAATGGGTTTGTTGCTGAAGGGCTGTGGTGTTTCGAGTCGAAATAAACTGAAGGATAATGCTGTAATTGTAATGGACAATGCACCTTATCATTCGCGACGGTTAGAGAAGATTCCGACAACGTCTTCAAAGAAAGTTGAAATCCAAAATTGCCGGCAATCAAAGAATATTAGCTTTGAAGACTCAATGCTAAGAGTAAAGCTACTAAAAATTGTCAAGGAGCTTTGAAGACTCAATGCTACTAAAAATTGTCAAGGAGTGCAAGCTTGAATACCAAAAATATATAGTCGATGAGATGGCAGCAGGCCAAAACAAAACTGTCCTTCGCCTGCCTCCATACCACTGCGAGCTCAATCCCATCGAGTTAATATGGGCGGATGTGAAGAATTTTGTAGCTCAGCATAACACCACGTTAAAATTTGCAGATCTCAAAGTACTTTTTGAAGAGGCTTTGAAAAGAGTCACAGCGGAGAAATGGGAGAAGTGTGTTCGGCATGTGATATCGGAAGTCGAGACAAAAATGTGGAAGCTTGATAACATAATAGAGGCACAAATCGAGCCACTGATAATTCAGATTGGTGAGGATGACACTACTGGTGAAGAGACAAATTCATCCAGTTGAATAATTTTGATTATTATTCTTTTTTATTTTACATAAAATGAAAATTATCAATGAAGAAATAATTACGTCTCTTTTCATATAATGCTTGAGTGCGCTGTGAAAAATCCAATGAAAATCTTTTTACATTACACATATTATCTGCATTTTTCCAGTTAAACTGCAAAACTTGTGCATTTCACTCGGTATTATAAAGAAGTTTTCCTAAGTATGATATAGCATTTGTGATCAACAAGATGTTAGTTCTGAATACGACCCAGGCCAATTCTTGGGATTCTCAATATCACGTGAATAGGGCATGTCAATGTTTACATCCACTCTATCTTGGATTTGAATTTGCTTTTGAATCCTGTTTCATAACCATACTCATGCGAGCAACCCTGCCTCTCAAGGAAGTGTTCAGTCCCACACTGATGAAGTGAACTCAACTAGGGAACAACAACCTCTAACAACATCTCTGCTAGGAGACATGATGGAGTAAACAGGTGAAACCATCATACTGACAGGGTCAATCTTTGTATTTTTTTTTGTAAATATATGTATTAATTTTTATTACTGACTAGCCTGGGCATTCGAAGTAGCTCTGACTACGTTACATGTCTGAAATCTGTTGTCGATCAAATTCAGTCTGATTTATGCACCAATGAGAAATTTCGACAATATTATTCAATTTTAAAGATGGAAAAGCGCTTAATGTTAAACTCAATATCAGGAAGTGAATGGAATGGAGTGGGTTTTTAATACCTTTTTTCTTGAAATTATGATATTTTTCATTTTCAGTGCAACACTGAACAAAGAGTTGGACAAACCTATCACGAAACCTCTTTTTTCATTGAAAAAAGTTGGTAGTGACTCTGCAGCATCAAAAAAAATACCTTTTCACCCAACTCTTGGCCCACCTTGATATCTTGTGCCGTTCAAAAATTGAAGAAGAGGGGACTTTCCATGTCCACACTGTAAATATTTTTATGGAAAGTGTTCGATTGATCAGAAATACGTGGCAAAATTGAGCTGCCTCTTGCTTCGAAGTTCAGGTTAACACACTTCATATTTTGAGAATTATTTCTTTTGAAGAATGGCGGGGCGTCTTTATGGAATAAACTTCCATGACGATGTTTCCGAATGATTTCCAAACGAATTTAATCTTCATGTTGATGTACAGGCGACAAGTACGATCTTCCGGAATTGGATAAAATCAGATTCTAGACGGAAAGATTTGAACTGAAGAGGCCGGAAATTTTGTTATTATCCTGCGGAATATTATTCCAAAAGAAAGTTGAAATTTATGTTGATATTTCTGTTCATCATGCACATTCGGCATTTTCGATGGAGAAATGATAAATATGATTTCAGATTTATATTCCTTTTCACGCCTCGGAAATTGCGTAAAGTCAACAAAGTGAAGAAGATTCGCTCAGATATTCTGCGTAGGAGGAATCTTCGACTAACAATGAATAAAAAAGGATAACAGCATATTGAAAATTTGATTAGAGGAATTCGAAGATATAACTCTCGAGATTTATTATGGAGATACCAATACATTATTATTCCTGCAGATATTGCAGATGTACATAATTATTCCTGCAGATATTGATTGCTATCCAAATCAATATAAGATTCAGATGAATGTTCCAATATAACAATAGTGTTGATGAGTTTCTTGAATTTTCGAATTGAAATTGATGAAAAGCTATTGCTTATTCGAATTGAAAGCGGTATACTACCTGGGCCGGAAAGCTTCGGGACTAATACGTGGATGGCGCAAGTCTCATTGCATTCACCAGTTTATCAGTTAGTACTAATCTTCAAAAGAAAGCTGCTGAAATTTCATGATATTCTACCCATAAGTTTGTGAGGTATTGTGCTAAGAGTGACACTACTTCTGTTATTTTAAAACAATGGATGGACAACAATTTCGTGCTTTGATTTTACATTGCTTCTTGATGGGGAAAAATACCGTTCAAACGAAGCAATGGTATCAAAAAGTGTTATGAGGACTCCGCTCCATGAGAAACAACAATTGAACGTTGGTTTGCTGACTTTAAACGTGATCGTAGAGACACGGATGATGCAAAACGCAGGGGACGTCTGAATGAGTCTAAATTTCGACTTCAGTCTTGAAATTACGACTTGAAATTATGACTTTGAATTCGAAATTTCGACTTAGTTATTGAAATTACGACTTTTTACTTAAAAATTGGACCTTAAACTCAAAATTACATCTCTTTACACTCGCAATTTCGATCTGAATCTCGAAATTATTACGATAAACTCGGAATTTTGACTTTATTTTTTGAAGTTACAAATCCAAATGCGACTTTAATCTCGAAATTACTCGAAATTTATACTTTGAACACGAAATTACGTCTTGACACTCGAAATTTTGACTTGAATTTTGAAGTTACGACTTCAGTCTCGAAATTAGGACTTTATTTTCAAAATTTTTACTTCAATGTCGAAATTATGACTTTCTACTCAAAAATTGGACCTTAAACTCAAAATGGGGAATGTTCATCCTGACGAAAATCAAGTAGTTCATAAAAGAGCTCTAAAACAACGCATTTTAAACTTATCATTTCAACCTTTTTCTTCAAAAAATTATTTAAATACTTAAAAAAAAGGAATGAAATAATGCATTCAACATTTAAAGGGATTCGTTTCTATTTCACCATTTGGT